ACCAGCCACTCCTCAGAAGGAAGATTGGGCAATCTATTTCCATAGACATACCTCCTTGGAAACCCAACGAGGGGTCGCTATGAGTAAAATCGACTGAGTTGAATCCGACTTTTTTTTTGGTTTGGTTTTGTAAAAGTTAGCTTTGAAAAACTAAAAAAAAAAAAAAAAAACTCAAACCCATTGCCATTGAGTATATTATCATCACAGCATCCCTGAAGAACAGAGTAGAATTGCCCCATAGGGTTCCCAATGCTGTATATCTTTACGGAAGCAGACTGCCTCTTCTTTCTCCCGCAGAGCAGCTGGTGGGTTCAAACCATCGACTTTTTAGTTAGCAGCCAAGTGCATAACCACTGCACAACCACGGCTCATTTGAAAATGTCAGAATCATTATATATTTGATATTTTAAAAACATATTCATGGTAATATATATTTATGAATGTTCACTGTTTGTGTTCATCCTGTAGATCAGCTTCAACCAGGTATAAGATATAGTTTTTTCCTGTATGGATGCAAAAATCAAGGATATCAGTTACTACGTACCGTGATTGGATATATAGAAGAACTGGGTAAGTTAAGTGGGTACTTTTTTTGTGTGTGTGTAATTTAAGGAAACATAGGAGAAATTACACATCAGCACCAGTAGTAAGATTGGATTTTAAAAATAGATTGAATTGAGAACCTTAGTTCAAGAAAGGAAAAATAATTTTTATTTTAGGGCAAATTTAAAATAGTTTATTTTTATTCATTTTTTTTTAATGTTTATATTTTCCAATTTTATTGTTGTCACTGAGAAAATTAAATCTTGGAATTGAAGGTGTTTAATTAGCATTTGTACAAGTTTTCAAACTATTAGTTTACCCAGTACTGTCAACAAAGAAGAGAAATATGAATGAACTCCATTTGAGTAGCCAGTTAATGATTTCACATAGGTTGCTTTCTCAGATACATATTTTGTCTAAAAGTTGTGTTCTAAGTTCTACTTTAGTTCTTTTAAAGAATCTTTTGGTCTCTGGTTATTAGTGTAAGTTTAAATGCAAGTATTTGTGATAATATCTCTGTAAGTTTATGATTAAATGGAAAATAAAGTTTTAATTCAAAGCTTGGCTATTTTTCAGGCTAGAAGTCTCATAAAACTCACTGCTGTTTGCTAGTGACATAACCTCTAGCAGTTGCTTTTTCCCTTTTACAGCTCCAATTGTTGCACCCAATTTTACTGTTGAAGATACTTCTGCTGACTCTATATTAGTAAAATGGGACGATATTCCTGTGGAAGAGCTTAGAGGCTTTTTAAGAGGATATTTATTTTATTTTGGAAAAGGAGAGAGAGGCATCTCTAAGATGAGGGGCTTGGAGTCTGGTAAGTAAATTACAGCCCAAGGAGAACATTTCTTAGAAGTTCTCATGAACCACAGAGAAAGGAAGGTGCTGATGAGTATTTAGTACTGGTTTCCAAAACTGTTTGAGAAATTAGGAAATGAAAATGCAGTTGTCTTTCGGATTTGAAAGTTATAAGATTTTGGCATGTGATACATGACAGCATAGTCTTTGAGGAATCTTTTAAATAATTTCTTTTTAATAGCCTTTGATTATAAGCCCCCATAGAACAGGGAGCATTTTACTACCTTTGCATAATCCTTAATACAGCATCACATGAAGATTATTTAAAAAAAAAAAAAAAAAAAAAAGGTTAAGTTCTCTTGTACACGAACTAATGGGGAAGAAAAACTCTAGCCCATCACAAGAATGGCCTGGAGCCTCACTTGTTCTCTGACAGAGCCATCCGTAGAGATAGTGTCTTTGTTAGCCCTGGCATTAATGAGCTAGCAAGTTTAATAGACTTGATTGGGAACTTGGAGATCATTGTTATCGTCGTTAGGAGCCATCAAGCGGGTTCTGACTCATAGGACTCCATGTACAATAGAATGGGAAACACTGTCTTGTGCCCTCCTGACAATTGTTGCTATGTTTGAGCCCATTACTGCAGCCCAGTCTGTCTTGTTGAGGGTCTTACTCTTTTCTGCTGACTCTCTACTTTGCCAACCACGATGTCCTCTCTGGGGACCAGTCCCTCCTGATAAATATCCAAAGTACATGAGACAAAGGCTCGTCAGCCTTACTTCAGTGGAGCATTCTGGCTGTGTTTCTTCCAAGGCATACTTGTTTGTTCTTTGGGCGTGCGGTAAATCCTTGGCACTTGAGAGCAGAGCTTCTAGCTGATTCGTTCAGGTTCAAAACTCTGCTGAGAAAATTTGCGTTTCCACCATAGCTATATGAATCAGAGCCTACAGTTTAATAAGATCCCTGGGTGATTCTTACATACACCTGAGAATCTTCTTAAAATGTAGATTCTGTTTTAGCATAGTGGGATGGAAATGCAGATTCTCAGCAGAGGGTTGAACCAGAATAAACTGGTTCAAAAGTCCTATTTGGGAGGTGTAGGTACAGAGATCTTAGTGAATTCTCTGATCTACTAACATGAATGTTTATACAGACTTCTTCTGTCTTTTTCCCAATTAAATTTCTGTCAGGTGTCATATTTCTTATGCATATTCATGTAACACAAAGCTTATCATCTTTTCACCTTGAAAGATTTCATTTCCCTGTAGTGATCTTTCCTCAGAAATAAACAGTTTTAATTATTTAATGGCTGTCTGATAAATAGAGAACAATAAAGCCACGTTGGAATGCTGACTGGACGTTAGCTAAGCCACTTCCCGAGATCAACTTCATCAAATGTGTGCCTCACCCAAATCACTAATTTCTACATGTCATAAGCCTTCAAAGTTGCCTTTGGATGAGGGAAATACTGAGTGTCAAATTCTACAGACACCCAGAGTCTGGTGTAATTTTCCTCAAATGCTCAGAAATTTTACACTTGAATCAGTTATACTTCTAGCATATGTACTTCCAGTTAGATGAGGTAGATTGACCACACATGTTTATCACTGCTCCCACAATGTCAATAAAATTAGAGTCAAACCCAAGCCAAACCCAGTGCCATTGAGCTGATTCCGACTCATAGTGACCCCCATTGGGTTTCTGAGGCAATAAATCTTTACGGAAACAGATTGCCCAGTCTTGCATCTGCGGAGTGGCTGGTGGGTTTGAACCACCAACCTTCTGGTTAGCAGTCAGATACCTTAGGCACTGTGCTACCAGAGCTCCTTAGAATTAGAGTCAAGAAGAACAAAATGTATACAGCAACAAAGACAAAGAGGAGTGGAGAGGCGAGACAGCACTGAACAAGAGGAGTCATGAATGTGGGGTGCAATGCATGACTTAGAAGAGTGGAGGACAGTGAAGTCTAAGTGCCGAGAGTGGATGGACAGACTGCTGAGCCGGGCTGTGGTTCACCCTAAAGAACCAGGCAGTGGAGCCAGATGGCTGGGACGAATCAGCACTGAGTGCAGGGGTTGATTGAAAGTCTATAAGGAGCAGTTAGTAACTACCCTGCCCCGGTCCTACACCTGCTTCATAGAAGTAACATGACTGCCCCTCTGCCATGCCTAGAAAAGATAAGAGGTGTATTCTCTGGAGAAATTGAACCAGGGAACCTCCAACATTTGGATTATTGGATAAAGTGTCAGACTTAAAACAGTTGTACAGCTTAAAGGATGTGATCTTTCCATGTCCTCTTTTACTCACCTAAGTGATAGAATATCTCTGACCAGGCCTGTTCCCCCAGCAAGAGATTAGAACGTTTTGTTTTGTTCTGTTAAATACTAAATGCTCCCAAAGAAAAGGTATAAACGATGCTGACATTTGGGAGATTGTCCTAAGGAAAGCCAAGAACCTACCTGATCATCCTCCACCAGTGAGAAGTGAAGCCCATTCATCTGTTCCCCACCTGTGTATACCAAGCTTCCAGACAACCTTTTAGTACCTCACTTTTAACATGACTGGCAGCCAAGGGGCACCAGATGCTTGAGAAAGCCTTGAACACAAAGGACAGAAGCCAGAAAAAATTCAGAGGAAACAGATTCAATGTGGGGAAACAAATTCAAACTTATTCTCACTGAAAAGACATGACGTTATAAAAAGGAATGATCAGAAGACAGGAAAGAGCACCTTGAAATTAAAAATGTAATCAAATAATTAAAAAAAAAAAAAAAAAAACTAGAGGTGTTAGAAGATAGATTCTTACCAAAAGTAGACAAAGCAAAGGAGAAACACTGGAGCTAAAAGCCTAGAAAATTGAGGGCTGGCCTAGGACCTGTGCATTGTGTTTATATAAGAGCTCTCTTAAGGAGAGAACAGAGTGAAATGGAAGGAATGAAACTATCTATCAAAAAAAAAAAAAAAAAAAAAAAAAACATAAAACAATTTCCTCGAACTGAAGGGCTTGAGTATAGAAGATAAAAGGACCTGGATTTCACAGTGAAATGAATTTAAAAAAAGACCACAAAGTTTGTCATCAACATGTTTCAGAGGACCTAATGTTTCAAGAAATAGTCCTAAAAGTGATAAGGAAAAAAGACCATGTGTAAGGGATCAGGGTGTAAGAATGGCTGATTTCCCAACAACAGACCAGATTCTGGAAGATAGCAGAGCAATATCTTCAGAATACTGAGTGAATATTATCTCCTAATGAAAAATTCTATGCTTTGCCCATCTATCAACCAGTGAGCATAGAATGAAGACATATTTAGACATGCAAGGCTGCAAATATTTATTTTCCCCTGCACCCTTTCTCAGGAAACTCCCAAAGCTGTGCGTTGACATGCGGAAACAAAGTAGGGGAGACCCAGGAAGCAGACAGGAGAGGGGCAGGAAGTCCCTAGATGGCAGCCATGAGAAGGTGTCTAGCCAGATACAGAAGGCAGAGGGCAAGGGGCCTCTGGGTGGGTGCAGGGCTCAGGGGGCATGGAGCTGGGGCTTTGTTTCCTTTGACCATGTGGAAAATGGTATTGAGTATTCGTTGGAGGATACGAGAAGAGTATCGATTGGTACATAGAAGATCAAGCAAATAAAGAAAGTAGTTATAACAACAGGAAAATGATGTTATACAGAAAGGAAACATCATACCAGACCATTCCTCTTCAGTAATGTCTATATGGACACAATAATGTAAACACTTAATTTACCAAGAGTTTTTGTATGCATGTTTGAATGACATGGAGGAGAGGGGCAATAGGGTGGTGGTAGTAGGTGTCGTCTAGTCCGTTCCGACTCACACCAACCCTGTGTTCAGCAGAGGGAAACACTGCTGGGTCGTGTGCCATGCTCACAGTCGTTGCTATGTGTGAACGCATTGTTGCAGCCACTGTGTCAATCCATCTTATTAAGGGTGGCTTAGTGCCTAAGGCATTTGACTGCTGACCAGAAGGCTGGCAGTTCAGACCCACCAGCTGCTTCTTGGAAGGAAGGGTGGGCGATCTACTTTTGTAGTGATGCTGCCTTGGGAACCCAAGGAGGGGTCGCTATCAGTTGGAACCGATTCAAGAGCAGTGAGCTTGGTTTGGTTTGGTTCCTCTTTTTCACTGACCCTTTACTTTACCAAGCATAATGTCTTTCCACAGGGACTGGTCCCTCCTCATAGCATGTCCAAAGTACATGAGATGAAGTTCTCGCCATCCTCTCTTCTAAGGAATTCTGTGGCTATACTTTCTCCAAGACAGATTTGTTCATTCTTCTTTCAGTCCATGATACATTCAGTATTCTTCCCCAACACCATAATTCAAAAGCATCAGTTCTTCTTCGGTCTTTATTCATTGTCCAGCTTTCACATGCAAATGAGATGATTGAAGTTTGGGTCAGGCACATCTTAGACTTCAAAATGACATCTTTGCTTTTTAACACTTTAAAGAGATCTTTTGCAGCGGATATGCCCATTGCAGCGGATATGCCCAACTCAACACGTCATTTGATTTCTTGACTGCTGCTTCCATGGGTCTTAATAGTGAGTGGATCCAAGTAAAATGAAATCCTTGACAACTTCAGGTTTGGTCCAGTTGTGAGGATTTTTGTTTCCTTCATGTTGAGGTGTAATACATACTGAAGTCTATATTCTGTGATCTTTATCAATAAGTGCTTCATGTCTTTTTTACTTGCAGGATACAGAATGTCATTTGCCTATCATAGGTTGTTAATGAGTCTACCACCAATCCTGATGCTGCATTCTTCATATAGTCATATAGTTCAACTTCTCAGATTATGTGTTTAGCAGACAGATTGAATAAGTACAGAAAAAGGATACTATAGTGATGCACACTGTTTTGGTCACTTCATGCCACTCAGACAGAAAATACCACAAACGAGTGACTTCACCAAACAGGAGTTTATTCGTCTACAGTTTTGGAGACTAGAAGTCCGAGGACGTTCAAAGTGCCAGGCTATAGGAGCTAGGTGAAAGCTCCTTGACCTTGAGCTTTAATTCTGCTGCTTGTTCCCAGCCCACTGAAGCTGGAGGCTTTCTTCATCAGGCAGCTGCTGGGTGCTAAGACTGACAAACCCAAGGTTGACAGGTGAAAAGGCACAGTCCCAATATTACCAAACCACACAACAGGCCATTGATTCAAGTCCATTAAGAATCCCAAGATTGGCAGACAGCGTGGCAGGCTGCTGAATAATGATTCAGCTACATCCAGGAATCAACTGTGCCAAAAGCTGCAGACCATTCCCCAAGGCTTCACCTTATATTCAGGAAGCAGACCACATCCCTAAGGCAGCAACTCAGCTACTCACAGTAGATTCTAACATGGAGTTGATTACCATCTCATCATGGGGAATACTACATCCTGCTGCCTAGCCACTCAAAACCAGGCCCAGCCAAGGACACATAACCTTAACAACCTCACACACCTTTCCTGATTTTAAACCACTCAGTATCCCTTTGTTCTGTTCTAATAACTGCCTCTTGGTCTATGTACAGGTTTCATATGAGCACAGTTAAGCATTGTGGAATTCCTATTCTTCACAATCTTACCCATTAATGTGTTACGATGCACACAAATGCCTTTGCATAGTCAATAAAGTACAGGTAAACATCTTCCTTGTATTCTAGCCTTTTAGCTAAGATCCATCTGATACCAGTAATGATACTCATCATTCCATGTTCTCTTCTGAATCCCATTTGAATTTCTGGCAGTTCCCTAACTAATGTACTGCTCCAACCATTTTTGAGTTACCGTCAACAAAATTTTACTTGCATGTGATATCAGTGATACTGTTTGATAATTTCTGTGTTCTGTTGGATTGCCTTTCTTTAGATTGGGCACAAATATCGATCTCTTCCAGTCGGTTGGCCAGGTAGCTGTGTTCTAGATTTGTTGGCATAGATGAATGATCATCTCCAGCCAGTGTTTATTGAAACATTCCAGTTGGTCAGCTCCTGGAGCTGTGTTTTCTGCCAATACCTTCAGTAGACCTTTTACTTGTTCCTTCAGTACCATAGGTTCTTGATCATATGCTACCTCCTGAAATGATTGAATGTTGACCAGTTCCTTGGGGACAGAGACTCTGTGGATTCCTTCCATCTTCTTTTGATGCTGCCTGCATCATTTGGTATTTTGCCCATAGGATTCCTTCAGTATTGCAACCCGAGACTTTATTTTTCTTTAGTTCTTCAGCTTGAGAAATGCTCAGCATGTTCTTCCGTTTTGGTTTTCTGACTCCAGGCTTTGTACATTTCATTATGATACTTGACCTTGTCTCCTCAACCTGCTCTTTGAAATCATCTGTTCAGCTTGTTTACATCATTGTGTCTGTCATTTACATTACTCTGCATTCAAGGGCAAGTTTCAGAGTCTCTTGTGAAGTCCATTTTGGTCTTTCCTGTCTTTTTAATGACCTTTTGCTTTCTTCATGTATGGTATCATTCACATCTCCTCTGGTGTTTGGTCATTAGTGTTCAATGTGTCAAATCTATTCTTGAGATGGTCTCTAAATTCAGAGACTCAGGGTCATATTTTGGCTCTCATGGACTTGTTTTAATTTTCTTTAGCTTCAGTTTGAACTTCGGTATGAGCAGTTGGTGGTCTTTTCCACAGTAGTCCCCTGGCCTTGTTCTGACTGATGAGCTTCTCCATGGTCCCTTTCTACAGATGTAGTCAGTTTTATTCCTGTGTGTTCTAACTGGCCAGGTCAATATGGATGGTCATGATTATGTTGTTGAAAAGTAGTTATAATGGATAAATCATTGGTCTTGCAAAATGCTGTCATGCAGTCTCTGGCATTTTTTCGGCCACTAAGGCCATATTGTTCAACTACTAATGTCTCTTCTTTGTTTCCAACTTTTGCATTACAATTACCAGTAGTTATCAATGCATCTTGATTGAATGTGTGAAATATTCAGACTGCAGAAGCTGGTAAAAATCTTTAATTTCTTCGTCTATGGCTTTAGCCATTGGTATGTAAATTTGAATAATAGTTGTAGACATATGGATATTATCCTGTCACTGACAGTATTGTACGTGAGGATAGAACTTGAAATGTTCTTTCTGATGTTGAAAGTGATGCCATTCCTCTTCAATTTGTCATTCCTGTCATAGCAGACCATATGATTGTCTGATTCAGAATTGCCAATACCAGTCCATTTCAGCTTAGTAATGCCTAGGATATCAGTCTTTATGCATTCCATTTCATTTTTGACAGCTTCCAGTTTTCCTAGATTCATACTTCGTACATTCCATGTCCAGTTATTAATGGGTATTTGCAGCTGTTTGTTCTCATTTTGAGTCGTGCCCCATCAGCAAATGAAGGACCAGAGGAAAGCTTTGCTCCATCCATGTCATTAAAGTCAAGTCTACTTTGAGGAGGTAGCTCTTCCCCAGTCTTGTTTTGAATGCCTTCCAGCCTTAGGGGCTCATCTTCCACTATATCAGGCACTATTCCACTGCTAAACAAAATGTTTTCACTGGACGGTTTATGTAGAAGTGGACTGCCAAGTCTTTTTTCCTAGTCTGTCTTCTTCTGGAAACTACTGAAACTTGTCCACCGAGCATGACCCTGCTGGTGATTGTAATACCTGTAGCATAGCTTCCAGCACCACCACAGCACTTAAGTACAACAGACAGAAGAGAGGCGGGACCTTAGTGTGTGTAAGAGAGCTAAATCTTTACTTTAAGGCAATATGAGTAGATAATACCTAAAATTTAAAAATCAAGAACTAGCAATCTAAGTATGTAATTTTGAAATTTGCATGTAAATACCCAAGGTAACATGATTTTAAAGTGTTCCTTTGGTGGGGTGGGGAGTAAAGGGATGAGGAACCGTTCCTTTTTATCATTAGTCATTTACTACTGTTTAATTTTTTAAACTGTTGTATTTATTTGATTAAAGTTTTTAAAAAATAGTTTTTAAAAAAATTCTTCACACGTCCTCTTGAAGTGGTTTGAAGACTTCCCTAGCAGCCTCTCCTCAGAGAACTCAGGAAACATTGACTCTTTTTAAGTGGTTTGAACTGATCTCTATTGATCTTTATTCTTGCTCCCTGGAGCTGTCCTCTGATGCAGAGGCAGGATCAGTGTCCCCTGCCCCAAGGGTTCGGCTGTTGTGTTTCCATGCTCTCAGTAGTAGAAAGGGAAGTGACTCTTATCAATTGCCTGCTATATGGCAAGGATTGTGAGGCTGACACAGGACCAGGAAGTATTTTGTTCTGTTGCACACAGGGTCACTATGAGTCGGTGCCGACTCGTCAGCACCTAACAACATGGCAGACATTACCCTAGAGCCCAAGATTAAGCTCTGTGAGATAAGTGGTGATAGATACTGTTTCATAGTTAAAGTCACATTCAGAGTGGTTGAAGTAAAGGACCCTAAATCACATAGCTAGTAACCAGCGGAGGTAGAATTTGAACATAGCTCTGGCTCCAGGAGTAGCCTGGCATCCGTTTCACTTAGGGCTGTAAGTCTGACAGGTATGATTAGCCTTGTGATAAATTGTTATGGAGATCAGTAATAATAGTCTTTGTTTTAAAAACAGGCCATTCTGACATAAAGGTTAAGAATATTACTGACATATCTCAGAAGACGTTGAGAATCGCTGACCTTCAGGGCAAAACAAGTTACCATCTGGTGCTACGAGCCTACACCAGTGGTGGGATGGGCCCCGAGAAGAGCATGTATGTGGTGACAAAGGAAAATTGTAAGTTAAATATCCTTGTTGAGATGTTTTTCATACTTAAATGCATAATGTTTCTAGCAGTTTTGGTTATGGAGGAACCCAAATTTTTTTGAAAATTTCAAATGTTGCATTTTAATGGTGAGTGGAGGGTACTGTTAAAAGCCTGTGAGATGACTTCATATTTATTCATTTATTCTTGTCAGTTACTTGAAGCTGTTTTCTAACAAAACCAAAAATAAACCAAACCCACTGTCATCAAGTCGATTCCAACTCATAGAGACCCCCACTGGGTTTCCAGAGCAGTAAATCTTATGGAAGGAGATTGTCCCATCTTTCTTCCATGGAGTGGCTGGTAGGTTTGAACCACCAGCCTTCTGGTTAGCAGTTAAATGCCTTAGGCACTGTGTCACCAGAGCTCCTTATTTTCTAACAAGTAACCTAACAAATTAAATAGGAATACATCTGAAGGTCAGAGTTGAAAATTCATGTTGAATTAATGTAAGTCAGCTGGTTTTATCTCACCTATTCTACTCTGGTTTTTAACATATTTAGGAAAAGAGTGAAAGAAATGTAAAAATCTTTTTTTAAAGCACATTCATAACACTGAGATGGAAAGTGCGGGAGATAAAGGTGGTAGGTTTAACTTTCCTTCGACATTCAGAAATTTCAGAAGATAGGACCTGTGTTTACTCTGTGCTGGCGTTGAGGTCACATACATCTCTTAAATAAAGAACTGAGGGGATATGGTTCTCTGAAGCAGTGACTCTCACCTAGGGGTGCTTTTCTCCCCCAGGGGACTTACAATGTTGGTGACATTTTTGATTGCCATTACTGGGGGTGGGGTGGGGCAGGTGCTACTTGCATTAACTGGTAGAGGCCAAGGGTGCTGCTAAACTTCCTACAATGCATAGGACATAAAAAACAAAACAAAACAAAACTCAACTGCCATCGAATCAGATCCAACTCATAGCGACCCCTCCTTGGGTTTCTAAGGCGGTATCACTACGGAAGTAGATTGCCCAATCTTCCTTCCCAGGAGTGGCTGGTGGGTTTGAACCACCAGCCTTCTGGTTAGCAGTCAAATGCCACCAGAGCTCCCAAATGCATAGGACCTCCTTCCACAACCAAGAATTATTGTTAGGTATCGTCAAGTCATTTCTGACTCACAGCAATCCCACAGGATAGAGTAGAAATGTCTCGTAGTATTTCCCAGGCTGTAGTCTTTACAGGAGCACATTGCTAGGTCTCGTCTCCTGTGGGAGCCACTGGTGGATTTGAACAGTTGGTCTTTGGGTTAGTAGCCAAGTGCTTAACTCTTGTGCCACTGTTGTTGTTGTTGTTGTTGTTGTTATGTACCGTCGAGTCGGCCCCGACTCATAGCGACCCCTCCTTGGGTTTCCAAGGCAGTATCACTACGGAAGTAGGATTGCCCAACCTTCCTTCCGAGGAGTGGCTGGTGGGTTTGAACCGCCAGCCTTCTGGTTAGCAGTCAAGTGCTTTAGCCACTATGCTACCAGAGCTCCTCTTGTGCCACTAGGGGTCCTTAACCAAAAATTATCTAACCTAAAATGTCAGTAGTGCCAAGATTGAGAAACACTGCTCAAAAGAATTTAAGTATTAGTAGGCAAATTATTACAATGCTTTAAGATTACGTTTTGCATACTACACAAAACATTGTTCCACCTCCTACTTTGGCGAGTAGCGACTGGGATCTTAAAAGCTTGCAAACAGCCATCTACATGCAACGATGGGTACCTCTTCATCCAGAACAAAGAAGAGTGAAGAAAACCAAAGATTCATGGAAACAATTAGTCCTAGCAACTGGTACACCATGTGATCCACAGCCTATATGACTATGAGACCAGAACTAGATGGTGCCCGGCTACCACTGTCAACCCTCAGAGGGGGATCTATGTAGGAGATCCTGGATAGAGTGGGAGAACAATATGCAACAAAACTCAAAATCATTTGGGGGAAAAAAAAAAAAAAAGGGCAGGAACCAGGTTTGCTGGTCTGATAGAGCCTGATGGAACCACTAAGACTATGGCCCCTAGCTGCCCTTCAGGTCTGGAATTGAACCCACACCTGGCTTCCAGCCAAACCAAAGACAGACATATGAGTTGAACATTTACCTGAAGTAGATACACTCCTTGGAAAGAACAGTCATGGCAGAAAGAAGGGCTGTTTATGCACAGGGAGACAGCTCAGGGGGCAGGAGTGCATGGAGGGATGGACACAGGGAAGAGGTGGAAGGAGGAAGTGGGAATGGAGCTGTTGCATTGTGGGAAATTGTAGTCAGTGTCATGAAACAAAGTGTATGTGAACTGCTGTATGGAAAGTGAATTTGCTCTATAAATTTTCACCCAATTCACAATTAAAAAAAAAAAAATCACCACCACCACCACTGCCATTGAGTGGGTTCTGACTCCTAGCAACCAACCTAAATCTCCCCACACACAAACATAGTTTATTATTATTTATACTGAAAATGTGAACTTTAATTATCTACAACATTCTCTTTCCAGCTGTGGGATTAATTATTGCCATTCTCATCCCAGTGGCAGTGGCTGTCATCATTGGAGTGGTAACTAGTGTCCTTTGCTATCGGAAACGAGAATGGTAATGGTACCTGTGTTTATTCTTGCTGCTTTGTTCTTAGGGCATGATTGTTTAGTCTGCATGTTAACAAATATGTACTACATCTCTTGGGTTGTGACTAGTTAGTGAAACATAATTGTGATAGTCAGACTTAATGTTGATTTTAATAATAGGCAAGAATGTGACATATTAAAGATTTTAAAATTAATAGAGTAAAAGTGTAAATTTTCCCCCACCGTTTTTACTGATAAATTAACAGCAGTTATATGCAGTGCAATGCAGCCATTGGGGGAAAAAAATTACAAGCATAAATATGGCGGTAGCTTTATATGAGATTAAATGTAATTTAATGGTGAAGGCTGCACTTTTTCCTGGTGACCTGTTTGGAGGATCTGGTGACATAGTGCCTAAGGCACTTGACTGCTTACCAGAAGGCTGGTGGTTCAAACCCACCGGCCACTCCTCAGAAGGAAGATTGGGCAATCTACTTCCATAGTGAATACCGCCTTGGAAACCCAAGGAGGGGTTGCTATGAGTCGGATCTGACTCGATGGCAGTGAGTTTGGTTTTTTTTTGTTATTGTTGTTGGTTGGTCATTCACTCATTTATTCAGCACATATGAGTGACGCCTCCCATGTGAAGGAGGATATGTGTTGCTGCGTGCCATTGAGAACAAAACAAGTGTGGGCCTTACAGCCTTAGTTTGTGAGGGGGATGATGAGCACAAAACCCACATCGTCCAGTAAATACATGCTTGCAGCGTGCAGGTGAGAGCTAGGAAGGGAGGGGGCCAGACGCAACGGGCAGAATAGCATAGGGACCTGTGTCGGTGGAGGTGGGTCCTCAGCCACGACTTCTCTGCAGGAATGACATTTGAGCAGAGTCCCCAGGGGTGAATAGAGCGGGGAGGCGTGTTCGAGGCAGAGGGCTGACCGAGGGTCTGTGAAGACCTCGGAATTGGAAAGAACTTGAGATTCTGGAGACAGTGAAAAAGGGGTGTGTAGCTGAGTAAAGTGAGATTGAGTGGTCATGGGTGAGTGCATGGACAGGTCCTCCGTTCCATCTTCTCTGGATTAGAAATCAAAACAGTAATAACTTTGAAAGTATAGAACAGCTTATTTTGGTGACCATCTTCTCATTAAGAAAATCACATTTTACATTAAGAAACAGCTATTTTAGCCTATCCTCGCCCTGCCCCCACACACAAAATGAGAGTTTATTGGGTAGAGCATTTCAGACTTGCATTAATGAAGTTATTTATCCTGCAGGAATTTAATAGTTATCAAAATATTACACAACACCAAGCAGAGCTGGGATTTTTTTTTTTTAACTACATTGAGTTTTTACTTAAGATTAATAGCTCTGCTCTTTTTAGCACAGCTAGTTTGAACTCCTGACGGATGGTTATCACTTGCATTTCTCACTAGGTTTTTTCACCCATATAGGTAAAACCAGTTACATCACACCCCAGCTCTCCCTGGCTAATAGTCCAGATTCCGTTACAATGCACAGAGAGACGCATAGCGCAAATGTGTCCCTAGTCGACCATGGTTAATCCAGCTTGCAGCAGGAAAATTGTTATGTGAGCAATGCCTATATGTTACTTTTCACTTGATAGCACAATTGCCATTTAAAGACAGCCTCCAACCTCTGCTGTCTATTTTCATGAGGTACATCTGATATTGTACTTACAGATAGAAATAGAAGTGCCACAGGTTTCCAAATTGGAACCTCCCCCTCTGCCTTGCATAGCAGGTTTTTGTGGATGGTCACACACTAAGGAGCTTCTGTTTCTGTCTCAGGTGCTCCTTAACTAAAATATTCACATGAAAAGTCAAAATAAGCCTGATGATTGATTGCTTATTTGTTTCCTGAGAGATAGTCTTGGAATTATTAAATGGACTTAATCACTCTTTATTTAAAGGATTAAAGAAACCTTCTACCCGGACATTCCAAATCCAGAGAATTGTAAAGCACTACAGTTTCAAAAGAGTGTCTGTGAGGTAATCTTAAATTTTCTTACATTTATCTCTGAAGGTATTCACTGTATTATTTTTAAGCTTCTTTAAACTAACAGTTTGAAAGTTTTAGCATGGAATTGCCATCTTAAGTAGAATGTCTTGAGAAGATAATGGTTTTTTAACATCTGCTAAATTTCTAAAATGATTAAAATTGTTTATCTTACCCTCTCTTTGTCCCCCTTACTATTTATAATAAGGGGAACATACGGATGTGGGGGAAACGTGGCTTCACTGTAGTGTACACTGCAGCCTGGTAGAGAGAAGCTTACTGTGAAAGAAACAGAAGGTGGGAGGCCCCTTTTGGTAGGAGGGGCATTGCAGTAGGTTTTGGCACTGTCGTTCATCCATGCTTTTGTGTTTATTTCTAGGGTAACAGTGCCCTTAAAACATTGGAGATGAATCCTTGTACCCCAAATAATGTCGAAGTTCTGGAAACCCGATCAACAGTCCCTAAAATAGAAGATACAGAAATAATCTCCCCAGTAGCCGAGCGTCTTGAGGAGAACTGTGAGGCGGAATCTGAAAACCATGTGGTTGTGTCCTATTGTCCACCAATCATTGAGGAAGAAATACCGAATCCAGGGGCAGATGACGCCGGAGGAACTTCACAGGTCATTTACATTGATGTTCAGTCCATGTATCAGCCTCAGGCAAAGCCCGAAGAAGAACAGGAAAACGACCCTGTAGGGGGGTCAGGCTATAAGCCACAGATGCACCTCCCCATTACTTCTGCTGTAGAAGATCTGACTGCAGAAGATGACTTGGATGAAGCCGCAGGCTACAGGCCTCAGGCGAACGTCAGCACTTGGAATTTGGGATCTCCTGACTCCCCCAGATCCACAGACAGCAACAGCGAAGTCGTCTCTTTTGGAAGTCCATGCTCCATCAACTCCCGACAGTTTCTGATTCCTCCTAAGGATGAAGACTCTCCCAAATCTAGTGGAGGAGGCTGGTCCTTTACAAACTTTTTTCAGAACAAACCAAATGATTAACAGTGTCACTCTGTCACTTCAGTCTGCCATCTCAATAAGCTCTTCCTGCTGGTGCTGCCACATCAGCACTGGTCTTCTCGGAGGAATCCTGTGAAGTATTGTCAGTGAGGTGACCTTCACCACGTGCACATTACACTAAAAGTGTTCATGTGCTTTTGAGGTCGTCTAAAAGCCGAAGCATAGTAACTCAGATTCAACCCACAAAACTCAAGATTGGGAGCTATTGATGACTGGAGCCAAAGAGTCCTCACGCACTCTGCCTTCTAGAAGCATTTCAAGACGAATGCTGTCTAGTCTGAGCAAAACACATCCCCCAGCAACTGTTTTCCATGCTGTTGTTAATGGTTTTCTCACATGTGAACTTTACGGAATTCCAAACCAGTTGGCAGACAAGGCAGAGACAGGTCACATTAACAGATGATGTTCATTCACCTGACATTTGCTCCACGTTAGTGAAAACCAAGCACAGATTTTAAAATTTCAGATTATCCTCCTCTATCTACAACATTTACAAAAATTAATATGATTTTTTAACAGGTATTGGTGTTTTGTTTGATAAAGTATGCTGATTCTGTGCCTACTGTATGGTGGTTATCGAATAGTTGACTCAGGGGTGCAAACTTGGAAAACGAGTGTGACACTGACCAGCCCAAGCCAGAATCTCAGTATCTTGCTTTGTAGATTTCCAGACCTTCCCATTATTTTTTTTGCTTTTGTATTGGCTTCCTTTCTTGCAGTTGGTTTCCCTCATATTTAAAATTTAAATTTCTAGAGCTATAGATTTAAGTTTAAAAAAAAACCACATTTTATCTGTGATAGTATCAGTTTTATAAATATATGAGTGAAGCGTATGCCCTGTGCACTATTATTCATGAGCATATAATTCCACTGATTACTATTTGAGACTACTAAGCAATATCTAGTTGGTGTTCGTAGCTGTCTGTATCGTCCTCCTTGGCCTTCGTTCCTCATGAGAAGCCTGCAGCCACCCAAACACGATGCTCTCCGCCACCACCCAGCAGGCGTCCCGCTTGATTGTGAGTCTGGGCGGTTCCTCGCTCCCAAATGGTCATGGGTCCTGTGACTGCTGGATCCAGGTCTCAGATTTTAAATATAAAACTCAAGAGATGAAGCTTCTTACATAAATAATGACTCAAGGGCTATTTTATATAAAATGTCATAAAAATCCATCTGAATCGAACGAAAGGACTCAGCTGCAACACTGGCTTTTATGAGCTTTGTGTACCATCATCTGTCCTCAGCACAGTGTCCTCTTCCCAGGCTCGTTTTATCATAAGTAGCATCTGGGTGGTTCTGGGAAAAGCATAATGAAAACTAACACGTGTATCTTGTATTTTCTCAGCCCAGGTTGCTGCCTAATAAGCATTTTGTCTTTTGATAGTAAGAACAAAAATTTGAAAATTTCAAATATCTGAATAAGTTAAAATATGCTTTTTTTTTTTAAACTGTCTAAGGGTCTGTAATATGTTTGCAAGTAGCAAGTAATTGATCAGTTTGTGTTTTCCCCTAGCTCATAATGTATCTTTTTAAAACCATGTTCTAGGGGGAAAAAAAGCCACGTACTGAAAAGGGACGATGAAGTCTGTTCAGACACTCTGTTTATGAATCCTGATTTTTAACTGCTAGGGTTCAGCAGAATCTCTGAGCTTCATGATTTGTGGCTGTGTGGAGGGAAGTAGAATTAATTACGTACATGCAGAGTATACTGAAACTGTGTCAGAGCTCATAGAAATCTTCAGCAGTGAAAGATGGATCAAGCCAGAGCCCTCCAGAGCTTTCTCTGGTCTCCTCTGTCTGCTCCTTTGCTCTTTCCCTTAGCTCCACCCAGGCACTCAGACCTGGAGCTGCCTTCCTGCCGTTTCTGTGGCCAGCCCTTCCTCACCCAGGCAGAGCTTGCCATTACCCTCGTCTTGCCCTTACCAATCCTATACTTCATTTTTTAGGACAAGGCTGGGTGTTTACAGAGAACTAACCTGATGTGAAGGGAAGGGTCCAGAAAAGATTGTTTGGTCTCCGGCAGCAATAGTATACATGTATTTCAACTGTGACTGTCTGGATCCTTGCCCCTGCTCACCTGAAAGTAGAGAAGCAAGTCATTTGTTGGCAGATGGTAGAATTCTGGGTGCTCTGAAATCCTTCCACTTTGTTCAAGACTGGTTTTCCTGTATTAAAAAAAAAAAAGTTCAGCGTGCCGCTCACTTTGCCCCTGCTTCTGGAGTTCCAGCAGACCGCGAGCAGACGTCACGAGTCCAGTGGGAAGCAGAGTAACACGTTATGAATCTGGATGAGTTCCTGTTAACTCCCCACTTGTGTGGAAAAGTTCAATTCAGACCGGCCCAAAGCAGGTTTTCCTGGTCTTTGCTCCTTGAGTTGATGATAGCCAGACCCACTCTGCAGATCTGAGGTTATTATTATTACCCTTCCCCCACCCCACCTGTGCACGTCAGGGGAGCATAGGGAAGGGAGGGAGGGAGAGAGAATTCCACTCACCTATCCCATTGTTGGCGGCACTGGAGACCCTGGTAATCGTGCACTGGTCATCAATGCCAGGCCATGCTCGCACATGCAAAGTGGTCCAGTAGTGCTCATGCTACCTCCAATCAGATTAGCTCCTCCTCCTGTGAGGAAGGGTCATTCAGGGATAGTCAGGAAGGCTAGATATGTTCCCTCCTGCCCTTCCTGACTGGGAAACAATTGGCTAATTCCTTCTCTTCAACTAAAGCCAGTCATTGGTTAGAAGGTTCTAGATATCTGGACTAGAATTATGTTTCAGTCATGTTTTGTTGACTAGCACTACATAGAGAACACATTTTTGTATCTAAAATTCTCAGCCAAATTTCAAATCAAGCTCCCTTGTGAGGAATAGAGACTCAGATGGCCATGACAGCTGTGTTTCTTTCATAAGTGGTTATCTCAAAAAATACTTAATGTAACAGTAGTAGTCTGAGAAGTCTTAACCAGGCTTTGGACATTAGATAGACCTTAGACGTTATGTATTGCATGGATTAGTATACATACAATTTAAATCCTCTCAATTTGTTGAACCTGTATAGAAGCCTGGATTTGAGATAGTGGCCAGGATATCTGGGTAGTGGAGTCGTATGTTTATGTGCTTGTGTGATAGAGGTGCTTTGTTACTGCAGCTTAGAAACAAGCAGCCATCATTCAGTGAGAAATTTGAGGGAGGAAGTATCAGCATCATTTTCCATACAGCATTATGTTCATGGCTCGTGGATCTGAAGGACTTCATTTAGAACATCCAGTACTATTGCACTCTCAGAAACTGGCAAAAAGTCACAGACTTCAAACTCATGCAAATTGTATTCTTACTGGAAATTAGTCCTGTAACTTCTTAATTGTCTTCATACCACCTGTATTTAAAGACCATCACAGTCCTTTCTCTGCTTGAATGATTAGATGTAGGTTAGTGACAGAATAAGGAATATTTTTTTCCAAGAGAATTTGCAGTCAGTTTTATGCCATTTCCAAATTAAAGTACTCCTTAGCATGTTGTCCATATACAGAAAAGTTACCACATTTTTGTTCTGGTCAGGCACATAACTCTGATAAAACTTTTTCATTGTTACTGTTTAATCTCTGCTGCTTTCTGTTTTGAACCATGTTAAAATTTTTATGCCCTTTATGAATGCCTTTTTCTCAACTCACAGGAAATACGTGTGATCATTAACTACAAAGACTAGGCAGTTCACTGAAGAATTTTTGATTGACTCAGTACTATCCCAAGGGGTATAAACTCAACAGGGTTTTCTGTGTATTATATGTCAAGACCTAGTGTGTGTAGATCTAAGACAGTTGTCTCCAAAGTGTAATTCTTTAGAAGTGGCTCTGCAGGTTGTGTGAAAACTTGGGAAAGGCTGTTTCTCTTGTCTGTAAGGTTGCTGTGCGTTAGAGCCAACTTGATGGCACCTACACCAGCACACAATGTGGGATGAGTTTGTACCACACAGTGTGTGTTCTGGCAAACAAACAGGACACTAATGAATGAGCTTAAATGACTAATACAAGAACACATGCTATTGATAAAATATTTCTTCAATGCATTTATTTTAAACTGGTACTTACTGCTGGAACAGAGTTTCGTGGTATCATTCCTGTCTTATCTTTCCTGTCCAGGAGAAGAATTTTCACAGAAGCAAATGATTTGTGGCCAGACTTACTGGAAATTCATCTTTTAGACTTAGCCTTAGAATATCATTGAACATGACTTGGTTTGAATTTGGTTTATTTATATCTTCAGGGAGTATGCACCCAGGGCTGTTAATGTTTAAACCTCTTATTTCGCTACTGTTGTTGTTGTTGTTATGTGCC